CTAAATAAATAAGGTAAAAAAAAAAGAGCCCTCATTGTAAATACTCTTTATATTGTCCAAATAAGCACAAAGCAACACAAACACACTCAAAATATCACCAGGAGACTCAAGGCATTCAAACCCATATCAAATCTTTTACTCACATATTGGTGGGTGGATGATTTTGAATTATTGACAGGAGCCAGATTACAGACCTTGGCACTTGGCTGTATTTCTAGGCCAGAATGTTCTCTGGTTATCAAACAGATTCTAAGTCTCCATGGACAACTAAGTGCAAGATTTTTCAACCTAGTTGAAACTACCTCTTCAAGACAGAAAGTTACTAAGTCACAGAGGTCAGAGACAAAACTCAAAGGATGCCAGAGAAAGTCCTCGAATATATATATATATATATATATGTATATGTATGTATATATATATATAGAGAGAGAGAGAGAGAGAGAGAGAGAATCTGATTTGTCACTTTCCCCTTTACCTCAGTTAAATACAGAACAACTGCGATCTAATGTTTCAAGAAATTCTACTACATAAAGAAAACAGGCAGTAGCCCCAGATCAGAACGGGGCAAGAATAAGACCCAGACCCTTTATCAGAAAACCTCAAACACATTCTTTGTTTCTATAATGACCAAACATTCCAACTTGGTTAAAAATATAAAGGACACAATAAATCCTGTGCTTTGAGAGGTTCAGAGAGCACCACTTTCTAGAAGGAAAACACACAAAGAATATATCCTGATTAAAATCAGGGGAAAACGTCTGATTTTGTATTTACAAACAAAACAAAAAAAACCTGGTAGGACAGATCCATTGGTTTCAGTATTTGAAAAATAAAACAACTTTTTGTGCCAAAATAGAAATCTAACGATTTCTTTCTTGTTCTTAAGAAGCAGTGGAGCTGCTAGAGAAATGGGGCTGAGATGAGGAGATCTGAGTTTTAGTTCTAGCTCTATCACTGTGGATAATCACATAGCATTTGAACCTCAGCTTTCTCTTTTGCAAAAGAGGAAAGATGGTTGATTTACCAACTTCAGAAATAAGTGAAGACAAAAAAATTCCATTGTGCTTCATTTGTTAACTATGGTTCTTAAGAGACCAGAGACTGTATCAGAATCTCCAGGGAGAACTTGTGCAGTCTGAAAACAAACAAACAAAAGTTTCCTGTTGCTTTGGTGGCTTTAGTACTAATATTTAAATTTTTATGAATTCTGAAAGTAAATAAGTTTTTTTTTTGCCAGTCCTGGGGCTTGAACTCTGGGCCTGGGCACTGTCCCTGAGCTTCTTTGGCTCAAGGCTAGCACTCTACCACTTATTTTTTTCTGACTTTTTCTGTTTATGTGGTACTGAGGAATCGAACCCAGGTCTTCATGCATGCTAGGCAAGCACTCTACCACTAAGGACATTTCCAGCCAACTCTTAATTTATAAGGAGGTATGGTAAAGGCAATTTAAACACAATATTCTTTTCCTCAGTCCCACTGAGCCATTGGGTGACTGTCCTTTTTAACATTTCTACCTCCTTGATTAACACTTAAAAATATAGAGGCTGGGTAAAAGCACACAGAATTGAATAATTCAATAATATTAATTATCTGTGTGCTTGAAAATTTCCTAACAAAAAGTAAGAAGGATATCACCTTTTCCTCCAGGCTATTCCTTTCATTTTTGGTGCTGGTCTTGGGGCTTGAACTCAGCCTGGGCATTGGCTCTGAGATTTTGTGCTCAAGGCTAGCACTCTACCACTTGAGCTACGGCTCTACTTCTGGCTTTTTTCATAGATAACAAGATAATAAAAGTCTCCTAGACTTTCCTGCCAGGCTGGCTTTGAACTGTGATCCTAAGATCCCAGCCTCCTAGGTAGCTAGGATTATAGTCCTGAGCCACCAACATCCAGCTTGTTATTTTTATATTATTCTATTTTATTTTGGTGGTAATGAGGCTTGAACACAGGGTCTTACGTTTACTAAGACAGATGCTCTACCACTTGAATCATGCTTCCAACCCACAATTTCCCTTTCATGCATTATTCTCTTAAGAAGAGGTATACCTTCCAAATGTGCTAAGCTTTCTTCATCCTATTAATCATTTTCTAACATAATTTTAATTATTTACACTTACTGCTTGATTCCTCCACCAGGACATTAGCTTTATGAAGACAAGAATATTTTATTTGTAATTTTGTTTTTCTTTGAGACTGGGTATTGCTATGTAACCAAAGCTGATCTCAAACTTGATACTCTAATTTCACCTATTCAGTGCTGAGATTATAGATGTGTGTTCCATTATGCCCAGTCTAAGACAAGGATTCGCTTTCTTTTTTGCAGTGCTGCAGATAGAACCCAGGGCTCTGCACAGGCTTGGAAAGCACTCTACCACTAAGCCATCCACAGAACCCAGAACTTTGCTTTCTTCACCAGTGATTCAAAGGAACTGTGGAAAACAGTGGCTGTGGATGGTAGTGGGGATTGAATTTGGGCCCCCAGGGCCTCATACTTGCTAGGTAGGTGCTTTACCACCTGAGCAATGCCCCTAGGCCTGCCTTTTGCTGGTTATTTTGGAGATAAAGTCTTTTCTGCCCAAGCTGGCCTTGAACCCTGATCCTCTAGATCTCAGCCTCCTAAGTAGCTAGGATTAGAGGTGTGAATCACTAGCTACACATTTGCAAGTCACAAGTGAAACAGTTCACTTTCAAACAGTTTTGCTGACTTTGAATATTCAAGATCAGTTCAGTTCACTTTATTTATTTATTATTTTTTTGGGTCCGGTCGTGGGGCCTGAACTCTGGGCCTGGGCACTGTCCCTCAGCTCTTCGGCTCAAGGCGAGCGCTCTACCACTTGAGCTACAGCGCCACTTCCGGCTTTTTTCTTTTTTCTTATATGGTGCTGAGGAATTGAACCCAGGGCCTCAGGCATGCAAGGCAAGCACTCTACCACTGAGCCATCTTCCCAGCCCCAATCACTTTATTTTTTTGCAACAGGGCTTCACTACATAGTCTAGACTTGCCTAGAACTCACAACCTCCTGCCTCCTCCCTGAGTGCTAGGATTATACACATGTACTATTTTACCCTGCCAAATATTTCTCTGGCCTTTTTTTGTTTTATTTTTATTACAAGCTTTCATGATTACAAATATGTCTTTCTTAGAAATCACTATAGGAATTTAGGTTATGACATGGTCCTCTGAGGTGAGAGGAGTATAATTCTTTTTTTTTTTTTTTGGTCAGTCATGGGGCTTGAACACTGGGCCTCAGCACTGTCCCTCAGCTCTTTAGCTCAAGGCGAGTGCTTTACCACTTGAGCCACAGCGCCACTACTGGTTTTCTGGTGCTTTATTGGAGATAAGAGTTTCAAGGACTTTCCTGCCTGGGCTGGCTTTGAACCGTGATCCTCAGATCTCAGCCTCCTGGGTAGCTAGGATTACAGGCATGAGCTACCAGTGCCCGGCAGGAGTACAATTCTTTACTGGCAGTTAAACCTCTAAAGTGGAATGAAGGGTTGGGGATGTGGCTCACTGGTGTATAGCTTTTGCCTAGAAGGCATATGGCCCTGGACTCTAGGTTCTTTAGGATAGTCTCTCAGAGATAGTCTCTAAAACAGCCAGTGGGACTAGATAGTTTCTCAAACAGACTATCCATACACATGATCTACCTAGGAAAGTATGCTGGCTAGAGTAAAAATATAGTCATGAGTTTTCCTGATGGTAATGGTGGACAAATCAGTATTTTTGGAACTAAGAATCCACACTGTAGGATGAGAATTGGAAATGGCCTTGGATCAAACACTTCCCTTTGCATGGGAGAGAGCTGAAAAGCAGAGACATAAAGCCACTTGTCATAGGACATCATTCTAGTTACTAAGAAAGCCAGAATTAAAACTCTCATCTCTGGGTTCTCAGATCAATGCTCCTTTTGTGTAGCAGGTAAAGATAAAGCTCAGGAAAATAAGCATTATTTTAACGTCAGAGGAGAGAAAAAAAATGTGGGGTAGTAAGCATAATAGGCACAGAACTTTGAGAGGACTAGAACAAGAGGCCAGATAACTAGCAACAGTGTCCTGCTGCAGTTTCAGGTCAGCACTGTTAGGAAAGGAAAACTGGGAAATTTATTAAGCTACTTAAAAAAAAAAAAAAAAGGGAAGGAAGCCATCTATTTGAAAATAAGAAATAATCTACTGGCAAAAGAAAGCTCTTCCCAAAGTAACTTTTTCGAAGATTTTAGAAACACTATCTGAAAGAAAAAAACAATAAAAATAGAATTTTAAAAACGGAAATGAAACATAGAAGGTCTCTAAACTCATGAACAATGATTTGATTTTGCATGAAAAAGTAGCCAAACTGGAATAGGTAATGGCATACTTAACACTAAAATGATTTTCTGGGCCAGAAATGACAACCAAGTGTAACATATTACAACAAAATTTCCCAAGGAATGTAGGAAAGAGATTTTAAAGTTAATCACCTCATTTCGACCTCGTACAGCCAGAGGTAGGCAGCAAGTCCATAGAGAGATTAGGTAACAGGCCTTGTAACTGATAAGCTTCTAAACTTGAAAGTTGCACATCAAAAGATGCAGAGAAAATCTTCATATCTAGTACAATGATGAAGGGGATGAAAGGGAGTGAAGCAGAAAAATATATTACAAAGTTCTAGTTAAAATAATACTTTTACATGAATATAAACTACCATGGACGTTTTATCACATCACATTCCTAAACTGTTAATGGAAAAAACATCAAAATACATTTGACTTTTATAACATCAAGGTACTCTCAACCAACATTAGGAATACCTGATTTTGAAGTCTCAGAAACCTGAAGTAGGCTAAAAGATCAGAAATAGTAAGCTGACTTCAATCTTGAATGATCCCAGAAACTAGAGCATGTATGGAAAATGGGAAACAATGTATTAGGAAGCCAAACACTGTTGTGTGTGTGTGTGTGTGTGTGTGTGTGTGTGTGTGTGTGTGTGTGTGTGTGTGTGTGTGTGTGTGTGTGTGTGTGTGTGTGAGAGTGTTTTGGGCTGAAATATTTGTCATTGCCTATTTCATTTCCAGCAGAGACTACAAAAGAAAACTATGCAAACAAATGTCATGTAACACAGGAGTCATGTGTTCCAAGTATTTGTTATCACCTCAAGTCAAGTCCTAATTAAAGATTTAGTTTTCTGAGGCAAATCAATTAAAGGATTCTGAATTGTTGACATTATTTAAAGGAATTCAATGATTTCAAGAACTGCCACCATGATTCAAAGAAGCACACATTTTTCCTACTAACATGGAATGAAAAGAAATACCAGGAAAGGATACTGTTCTTGATTTTCTGTAGTTCATGCTGGCCAGTTTCATCATTATAAACAATTACATATTATCCAAATCCAGACATATAAGGTCCAAGGGTAAGTGTAGGATTTTCCTCATTATGAAAAACAAACGACTTTCTTCTCAAGGTGAGAAGTGACTACTGGAGTTGTAGTATTGGATGTTGCAAGTAAGTATCCAGATGTCAAAAAAAAAAATTAAAATTCCAAGATTGACACTTTAAAAGACTTCAAAGACTACATTTTAAAAATGACCCTAAAAGTTTGAACTTGTTATCTCAGTTGGCTTTTAAAATGGTGGTCCTAAATCAAAAAGTAAAAACTAAGTAACACACTATGTGTCTGTCATCACATTAGAAAACTGCACCATTTAAAATCTGTGGAGAATGAAAACTGTTTCAACGGGAGTGGTTTGGTTCTAATAGTCATCGATGGTATTTTCAAAGAAGACGCTTCGGACATCCAAGATGGCTGCTAGTTCCAAAATGTGCTTCTGAAGATGAGGGTTCTCCACTGTTTCATCTCGTGGCAGTTGTGGGTATGACTCTGGGTAGTTTCGTGTTTCCTGGTTGGTAAAGAAGAAGAAAATCAAGTGCAAGAGTTTAATAGAAGAATATACAGCTTTGATACATCATTAAGGAGTGCCTTAAAATTTGCTTTTCTTGATATTGGTTGATAGCTGAATTACTAACATTAGACCATTCTGACCTCTAAAAATGTAACTTCATATGACTTCACCTAAGATTTATTTAGTGATTTGTTTTACAAATGTTGCTGAGGTCTATATCACTGCTACGCACACAAGTCAGTGTCACCTAGAAACCACATATACAGCTTTCTGGGAGAGAAGAAAACTAGCACATTTGGAACTCCAATACAACTTGTTAAATGAATGAAGTTGTTGAAGCCAAAATGGTAAGAGAAGTGTTCAAATTAATGGCTTTGGTGGTTAATTATACTTTTAATTATAATTATACAGGGAATGTTAAAAAATATTAGGAATGGATGCCTTGGGAAGTTGGGAGCTACTAAGAGAAAAAAGGAGGCAGCCGGGGGCCAGTGGCTCATGCCTGTAATCCTAGCTACTCAGGAGGCTGAGATCTGAGGATCATGGTTCAAAGCCAGCCTGGGCAGGAAAGTCTGTGAGACTCTTTTATTTATTTATTTTATTTTTATTTTTTTATTTTTTGGGTCCGGTCGTGGGGCCTGAACGCTGTCCATCAGCTCTTCAGCTCAAGGCTAGCGCTCTATCACTTGAAGTCACAGCGCCACTTCCGGCTTTTTTCTTCTGCTTATGTGGTGCTGAGGAATCAAACCCAGGGCCTCAGGCATGCAAGGCAAGCGCTCTACCACTGAGCCACCTTCCCAGCCCAAGTCTGTGAGACTCTTATCTCCAATAAACCATTAGGAAACTGGAAGTGGCATTGTGGCTCAAGCGGTAGAGCGCCTGTCTTGAGCTGAAGAGTGCAGCGACAGCGCCCAAGCCCAGAGTTCAAGCCTCATGACCAATCAAAAAAAAAGGAGGCAAAGCAGCTAATTTGGGGACAGCATGCAGTTTCAGATATTTGGGTAGTACAGATAATTGAGATATTAGGGTAATATAGATGGGGATAGATAAGAAAAGACAGATTTACAGTGTGGGTATGGGTGTAGGTCAGTTTTACAGTACTGAGTACCCTTTTTAAAGTTTTGGGATCAATCCTCAGCACCAGGGAGAGAAAAGAAAAGGCAGGTTTGAACAGTTTCTGTAAACTTAAATTTTATTTGATGTAAGTGAACAGTAACATTTGACACTTAAATGAGTAAAACTTTGTCTTTCATAATATTTTTTACCTACCCGAAAAATCTTGTGCATTCTCATGGTGGCTGAACAAAAGATAAATCTTGTGAGAAGCAAGCGAAGAAATTCATCTCCAAAAAACTGGAGAAATGCTTGATCTGTAAAGAGGAGAAAGGTAACAGTAAAAGGTTTATGTGGAAGTTGTACTTCAAAAAAGGTGAAGAAAATTCAGGAAAGCTCTCTTAATTTTCCTGCCTGGGACAAATCCCTTTACAAATCCAAGCAGTTTAAGATGGGTAAGCAGTACATTTGGTTAAGTGTGCAGTTAGATTGGTAGGGTACCTATTGAACGTGAATGGGTCAGGAGCTGGGCAATATCGCGGTTGATTTTTCGAAGGTACTCTTGACACTTTTCCCATAGGCCTCTACGCATGCTTGACAGTCCAGAGACAAACAGGAAGGCCATTAGAGGATTGTTCAAAAAGAGAGTGAAGAGGCTACCTCGTTGAGATTGATCTGTAATACAAATACATTACATATATAGACAATACTTTTGCAAAAAGTAAGAGACACAGATGAGGATTATTTTAATATAGTGATGAAGTACAAAATTGAAGTTCTCTTATTAAACTGCAATTCAACAATGCAGATTCTTTATACAACTACAAAAATAAACCCCAGGCATATTGACTTCTTTCCAACCAACATAAAATCAGAGTCTTGTATATATAAGAGAAATGGAAGCTTCTTTGAAATTCTTTTTTGTTCTCTTTGGTTAGCTGTTCTGTTTCTGCTGAGCCCTAAACATCTTTTCTTTTTTTTTTTTTTTTTGTCGGTCGTGGGGCTTGAACTCTGGGCCTGGGCGCTGTCCCTCAGCTCTTCAGCTCAAGGCGAGCGCTCTACCACTTGAGCTACAGCGCCACTTCCCCTAAACATCTTTTCTGCTGAGCCCTAAATATCAGCATTTTTTTTACCTCACTGGCTCCTCTGATTTTCATTACCACCTACATGCCTGTTAATTCTGTGGAAATTACTGGATACTCAAAATGTCCACACTGAGACACATCAGAATGCACAGTAGATTTCAAAGCCTCAGTTGAAAAAAAAAAAAAAAAGGCACACCAGGCAGGGCAGGGATGTAGCTCAGTGGCAAAATGTATGGCCCAGCAAGTGCAATGTCCTGGTTTCAATCTCTAGTACCAAAAAAAGGAAAGATAACAACAACAACACCCAAACCAAAAAACATCACAGCTTAAAAAAAAGGCACATTGCTAACACTCATTAATCTGTTTCTAAATATGTTTAAAAACATGTGGGTAAGCCTGGTGCTGGTGGTTCATGTCTGTAATCGTAGCTATTCAGGAGGCTGAGATCTGAGGATTGTAGTTCAAAGCCAGTTGGGACAGGAAAGTCTGAGGTCATTATCTCCAATGAACCACCAAAAAGCTGGAAGTGGGCTGTGGTTCAAGTGGTAGAGCACTGGCCTTGAGCACAAAAGCTCAGAGACAGTGCGCAGGACCTGAATTCAAGCCTCAGAACTGGCGCCACACACATGCACACGCATACACACGCATGCACACACACAAGTGGGTAGTAGAAGATTTAAAAAATTATATATGAGACTCACTCTATACTTTTATTGGACAGTATTGCTCCAGACTCCTAAATTCACCTGTGAAAGGCACCTTGAGCTTAATGCCCACAATTGAAAGCAAATTACCTCCCATTTCATTCTTTGCAAACACGCTTCTCCTGTTGGTTCCACCAAAATCTGAGCCAGAGACCTGAAAGTCTATTCCTATCTTCTTGCTCTTGCTCCCATATGCGGCCCATTGCCACATCTTGCTGATTCATATGGGCTTTATAGTAGTCTCTGAGTATCAGCTCTGGCCACACTGTCTTCCCTATTCCAGCAGTGGCCCTTTTCAATTCATTTTCTGCTAGGTTAACCAAATGATCTTTCATATTACTCCTCTGAAATTTTTTGCTGAGACCCCATTGTCCTCTACTTAAATCACTTAACAAATCTTAAAAGGTTTTTTCGTCATTCAGTCCCACAGTTCTCAACTCTATAAAGTAGCTAGGAAAGCTACTTTAATTTCTCTAAGTGCACTTCTTAGCTCTCTTTTCTCAAGCCTCGTACATGTAGTTTCTCTGAAGGAACACTCATTTCCAACCCTTATCATCATCTTATTCTCCATGGCTGAAGTCCATCTGAGACTTCTTGTCCCCTTGCCTCACCCCATGCACTGGTTATCAGCTCCTTGGCAATGTTCCTGCACCTCTCACAGCACTTGGGTCATCTCTTCTACTAGACACTGGCTCTGTGAGCAACCTAATGGTATTATCAGGTCCCAGTGCTGTCTGTGTTACCTAGCTCAAAGCATGATAAGTAAACGCTGGATAACTGAATTGAATTTCTAAAGCTAGGCTTGACTAATGACAGAACTGTAGGCTTTTCCTAAAGTGAAGGAAACTGCTAGGTTTGTTCCCAGATAGAGGGCCAAATCTTTTTGCAGAGGTCATTAGCAATAATGCCACTGAATAAATATTCAATGTCTCTCTTAACAGAACTATACATGTGTTAAGTAGGTGAAGAACATTAATTCAGATATTTGAGGTCTAACTTTAGAGCACAAAGACAGGATACTATGGCAAAAAGGTCAAGGGCACGCATGACAACTAAGTGTATTAATAACCATGATACCTAGCACTATTCTATGAGGTAGGCATTAGTATTATTTCCTTTTGACAGATGAGGTAACTGAGGCACAGATGGCTGAATAATTGCTATAGGTCACACAGCAAGTAAGAGGTGAGTTGAGATTCAGTCTGTCAGTTGTTTTCCAAACTCTGTGCTTTTCCTTTTACACAACAAAGTCTTTCAGGCCAAATAATGTTGTCATTAACCCATTTGATAATGTAGTTTTCCATAAAGCTAAGTCAGGACACGACAGATGCATAGCACTCTCAACTAGCTGGGCTGAATAGAGCCCATCCAGAAATGACAAACAGGATGACAAAATCCTCAAAGCAGGAGAATTTTACCGTTGTTTGAAGGTAAGTTCTATCCCTTAGGAATTTGGCTTGTGGCTATGTGAACTTAGTATTTCTATGTGGTTTTTTTTTTTTTTCCCTGTTAAGCAGCAGAACTTACCTTAAAACAACGGTGAAAGTCTCCAGCTTCTCTCAGGCATTCAAATGCTGACCTTCACTTCCTGTGTCAAACTATGTCAGCAGACAGGACTTCAGGGCTGGGAGGTGGCAGTACAATGCCATCTCCCACAGAGAGACATCGGCACTATTCACAGTCAGGGAGATAGCGAAACAGTGACAAGTACTGCTAAGACAGTGGTAAGCTTGCTGAGTATGTTACCTAAGAAATGACTGGGAGTTAGAATTACACTTTATGTTACCTATCAAGGACAAGTTACTAAGGGCAAAAGGTCTTTTGATTTGTAGCCACTAGAAAAATGGCCCAAACAGACTTGTCCTTCTGGCAGATTTGGAAGAGGTTCTTTAATTTAAATAGTACCAGGTAAAAATGTAGTGGGTGGGTGGGGGACAAGATCCTTTTTTTTAAAGTTGTACCAATTAGATGATCCTAACTCTTAAGCATAAGCTGGGAAGTTTCCTAGATCAGAAATCTTATGGTCTTCAAAGATGCCTAAATATATAACCAAAGATGTAGAAAATACAACAAGCAAATCGAGACAAACGCCTGCAAAACAAAATTTTAAATTATGGTTTCATGAGTTCCCCAACGGCAAGGAACCAAAACCATCCTTCCTCAGACAGGAACTATCTCAAGGCACATTAAGAAAGTCTGGTTGCTGGCAAGGCTTCTGGGTATAGTTCAGTTTGACACCTGCCACATTAAACAGCATAAATCCACATTTAATCAGTATGGGAGGGAAAGCAAAGATCAGTATTCCTTAAAATGTAGATCCGGCTCACACACAGCTACTATATGTCAGGCACTGAGAGAACGTACCTTGTAAAGCTTTAGGATATGCCGTGGGAGAAAGCAAGCAGACTAGCGGCTGTCCGAACAAGTTTGTGAAATTCTGTAATATATAAGAATTTAAACATATTATTAAACATCTGACCAATGGGAGTACTTAGTAATTTGTCAAAGTAGATGACTGGTACAGACTGTTCTTCTGATTCTAAGCAGATGTGGAAACAGCAGCCTGGCTGACATACACCATGCATAACATGACTATGCATAAAGATTGGCTAATAAGAAGAACTTCTTACCTACTAGCTATCTTTACTAAATTCAACTATGGATTTAAAAAATAATAGCAAATACACAATTGTCTACCAAGAAGGCCACCTCTTCTGGCACAGGACATCACAGGGTAAATTTTCCAAGAAGTAGGATCTAGGCTTTTAGCCTGAGATTGAACTCTGATTTTAGCCTCTAAACTGATGTAGTGGTATGTGAGGACTGGCTCCATCTCTGATTGAGAGTACAGTAACCTCTCACTGCTCACATAAGATAATGTGTAACACCAGAATGTCAATGTGTTAATTATAGTAAGAACTAAACTGACACTCAGACTAAAAGCACTTTGCATAACTGTCTTTCTCGTAAAGGCATCTTCATGAGTAAAATCGTAAGTAAGATGATAAACTGTTTGGCAAAGTAACAACAAACTTCTAATTTTTTTAAAGGGCTGAGAATATGGCTTAACTTCTGGAGTATAGAGTGGCTGCCTAGAAAGCACAAGGCCCCAAATTCAATCTAAGTGCTACAAAAAAAGGGGGGGGGGAAGGGGAGCCTAAACTACTATGAAAATAAATACGTGACATGACTTACTATGTTCTTAGAAATAAACTTGTTCTAAAATTCCATTTTACTAATTTATCAATATTTAAACCCACCTCAAAACAGATACTATTTTTGGGGGGAGCAGAGAGAACTGGAATTTGAACATAGAAATTTTAAGTTTTTTGGTGCCTGTACTGGGGCCTGAATTCAGGGCCTGGGCTAGCACTCTACCACTTGAGACACAACTCTATTTCTGGCTTTTTTGGTGGTCAACTGGAGATAAGAGTCTCACAAACTTTCTTGCCTGGGCTGGCTTCAAACCATGATCCTCAGGTCTCAGCCTCCAGAGTAGCCAGGATTATAGGTACTAGCCCCTAGCACCTGGCCAGCCAGTCATGTTCTGACTTGCCAACTGCAATGCACTCTGCACATTTTATTTCTCAAGAACAGTATGTTTTGGAAGGTTTCATTCTTCAAAGGAATGATACTGTATGGCCCCTCAAAAAGAAATGTCAATAGTTTTTTGTTGTTGTTGTTTTTGGTCAGTTGTGGGCTTGAACTCTGGGCTTGGACGCTGTTCCTGCGCTCTTCAGCTCAAGGCAAGCGCTCTACTGCTTCAGTCACAGTGCCACTTCTGGATTTCTAGTGCTTTATTGGAGATAAGAGTCTCCCAGACTTTCCTGCCCGGGCTGGCTTTGAACCGTGATCCTCAGATCTCAGCCTCCTGAGTAGCTAGGATCACAGGCATGAGCCAATGGCATCCGGCTTGTCAATAGTTTTTAACAAGTTGTTTTCAAATAATCTCAATAGTTTTCTTGTTCATCAGAGTATTGAAATCACAATGTTTATATAAAATATATTTGAGAGGCTGGGAAGTTGGCTCAGTGGTAGAGTGCTTGCCTTGCATGCCTGAGGTCCTGGGTTCAATTCCTCAGCACCACATAAGCAAAAAGAAAAAAGCCGGAAATGGCGCTGTGGCTCAAGTGGTAGAGCGCTAGCCTTGAGCTGAAGAACTGAGGGATAGCGCTCAGGCCCAGAGTTCAGGCCTCACGACTGGACCCCCCCCAAAAAAAGATAAATAAATAAAATATATTTGAGGTTGTGAAAGGTGACATCGATTAATGATGTGTCATTGAGAGGAATCAATGCAATATTAAAATTTTCTAAATATATATAAAAGGGCATGTTAAGGAATGAACTTGATCTGGCATATCAATACATTCTATCATCAGATTATAATAACCAACTTCTTTTTCATTGACAAAGACAAAGAAGAATGTTTCCTGTGACTTCTGTGAAGACACACATTTGCTCAGACTCTTGGCTTTAAAAGTTTTTTTTTTTTTTTTCCTTTTTGTCCGTTGTGGGGCTTGAACTCTGTGCCGGAGCTCTGTCCCTCAGCTCTTCAGCTCAAGGCTAGTGCTCTACCACTTGAGCTACAGTACCACTTGCAGTTTTCTGGTGGTTTATTGGAGATAAGAGTTTCACGGACTTTCCTGCCTGGGCTGGCTTTGAACCGTGATCCTCAGATCTCAGCCTCTTGAGTAGCTAGGATTATAGGCATTAGCCACCGGCGCCCAACTTTGGCTTTAAAAGTTTAAAGGCAATAGTAACCAATAAGCCCTTTCCTTCAGTAAGCTCTCACTCTCTTCTCCTACCTTTTAAACCATAGACACAAGAAAGTAGACACTTATTTTTCCTAAATCTCAAAAATTCTATTATTATACTTTAAAAAGTGGGTAGCAAGAAGTAATAAGCTTTAAAATTGAGAGCGGGCTAGATGTTATTGGTTTGCTGTTAAAAAAGAATCATGAAACCAAAGGCAAACCATATACTGAGGGCCATCCCTTTTTCTTTTTTGTCAGTCGAGAGGCTTGAACTTAGGGCCAGGGCACCATCCTTGAACTCTTTTGTACAAGGCTAGTGGTCTACCACTTTGAGGCACAGCTCCATTTTCAATTTTTTCGTGGTTAATTGGAGATAAGAGTTTCATGGCTTTTCTTGCCCAGACTGGCTTTGAACCTCGATCCTCAGATCTTAGCCTCCTGAGTAGCTTAACAGGCTTGAGCCACCAGCACCTGGCTTGGCCATCCTTCTTGGTGATTAGGTATTTCTGGTCCTGAAATCAGCTACTGTTTGCTCTTCATGTTGCTGGTGCCCATGAATCCCGATAACAGAAAAAGCTTTTCATCCAGGTCTGAGCACCAGCCTGTGTTAGGACAGAGGCTTCCTCAATAACACATTCTAACACAACACAAAGCACTCTAAAGGTTGTGTTTTCAATTTTCTATCAATTCTTATAGTTTGAACTCTAACAACCAATTTTAAAGTGTTTAACTCCTGTCATTCTCTTAAGAAAATCATTGAAAAGCATTGTTTCAATAGCAAAATATTTTTAAAAAGACATGTTAGATTCTTACAACATTCAATATTACTTGGTTGTCATAATTTAAAAAATCAATCATATGTAAAACAATATGTTAATATTCAAAGATTACCATTGTGTAAGGTGAGACAGAAGTTTCATTCAAATTAGAGCAGCTCAGTGTGTAGAAAGGAAAAACATTTGAAAACTAGAAAATAAAATTCATTCATATGTCTCTAACTCTATAAAAGAATATTATTCTGGGTTATAAAACAAAAATAAACCTTCCACCAGAGATCTTGGAAATCTTGATTATTTTTTTCCTGCAGGAGGATTTATTATTTTCCACTGAGTGTCCATTCATGCGTTTTCTTCTTGTTTCTATTCATAGCACCAGATCCTGACTAGCATGCACAACCTCAAAAGAAAAGAAACACTAAATCCGAACTGTGTAAATTAAGTTAAAAAATAAAAAGCACAATAAAAAGGCACATGCTCCAAGGGGCACCCTTGGGTGGTGCCTGTGTGCACTGCTCTTTCTCACCTTGTAGGCGACACTGTTGGAAGAGTCCACAATGACGAACAGGGGCTTCCTTGTGAAAGGGTACAGGTCTCCAGGATGAAGGCTGCAGAAACACCAATTGTGAGTGAAGGCACAACTATGGCAGCCAGAGCTTAAAAATCCTGCCCAGTCCTCCTCTTAATGACAATGCTGGGAGAAAACCAATTCATAGTTATGGAGAGAACAAACCATGTCCATATTTACTGGGACTATCTAAGTAGGCTGACCTGAAAAAATGTTGAGAGACAATTATTGGGAATAGTTAAGCTATCTGGGTGTGGTGACTAGCTACTTGGACGGTTGAGATTGAAGGATCATGGTTCAAAGTTACCTTGGGAACGAATTTTTGAGAGTACATCTCAACCAGTAATCTGGGTGTGTTGGTGTGGGCCTGTCAACCTACCTATACAGGAAGTTTAAATTACATTGGTCTGGGAAAAATGTAAAACCCCATTCCAAATAATAAGAAAAGTAAAAGGGCTAGGGATGTGACACCAATGGTAAAGTACCAGACTAGCAAACTAAGGCCCTGAGTTCAAATGCCAGTACTGGAAAAAAAAAATCTAAGCTAAAGTGAAGTCTTCATATTTAAAAATGAATAAACAAACAGCATGGAGACTTCAGAAGTCAGTATGTAAGCAAATGCTGCTGCTTCTTTTTTACTTTTTAATTTTTCTTGAGACACAGTTCTAGGCTGGTTTGGAACTCTCTATATAGTCCAAGCTGACCTAAACTCATGAATGTCTTGCCACAGTCTCCTGATTGCTGGGAAGTACATGGTTAGAAGTATGTCATTTATTTGTGTTTGTTTGTACATGTATGTGCTAGTCCTTGAGCTTGAACTCAGGGCCTGGGTGCTGTTTCTGACCTTTTGTGTTCAAGAATATTGCTCTACCACTTGAGCCACAGCTCCACTTATGGCTTTTTGCTGGTTGACTGGAGATAAAAGTCTCACAGACTTTACTGCCCAGGCTGGCTTCAAACTGTGATCCTCTGATCTCAGCCTCCTAAGTAGCGATGATTACAAGTATGAGCCACTAATGCTTATAGTATCTGTTTTTTTTTTTTTTTTGGGTCCGGTTGTGGGGCCTGAACTCTGGGCCTGGGCGCTGTCCCTCAGCTCTTCAGCTCAAGGCTAGCACTATACCACTTGAGCCACAGCACCACTTCCGGCTTTTTCTTTTTGCTTATGTGGTGCTGAGGAATTGAACCCCTTGAGCATGCAAGGCAAGCGCTCTACCACTGAGCCACCTTCCCAGCCCCTATAGTATCTGTTTTTAAAGTAAGATAAAACAGTACAGGGGCTAAGAAGGTGGCTCGGTGGCAGAATGCTTGCCTGGCACGCATGAGGCCCTGGTTTTGATTCCTCAGCACCACATAAGCAGAAAAAAGCTGGAAGTGGTGCTGTGGATCAAGTGGTAGAGAGCTGGCCTTGAGATGAAGAGCTGAGGGACACCAACCAGGCCCAGAGTTCAGGCCCCACGACCGGCCAAAAAACAAAAACAAAAAGAAAACCCCAGTACAATCACATCATAATCATATCTGCATTGTAATGGAATCTCAAAATATTTATCTACTTGAAAGATATTAAATTCTTCCAGCTAATGTTAATATTAACCATCATGCTGCATTTTCATCTTCTAACTGAAAGTTTGTATTTTTTTGATCAACATTTCGCATTTTCCCTAATCCCTACCTGCTGGCCACCACTTTTCCTCTCCCAGTGCCTGTGAATTTGACAATCCTAGCTAGTTAGGAGGATGAGATTTGAGGATCGTGGCTCAAAGCCAGCCTGCGCATGAAAAGTCCATGAGTCTTTTTTTTTTTTTTTTGCCAGTCTTGGGGCTTGTACTCAGGGCCTGGGCACTGTCCCTGAGCCTCTATGCTCAAGGCTAGCAATCTACCACTTGAGCCACAACACCACTTCTGGCCTTTCTGTGTATGTGGTACTGAGGATTCGAACTACCCAGGGCTTTATGCATGTGGGGCAAGCACTCTACAACTGAGCTACATTCCTAGCCTCCATGAGACTCTTATTTCCAATTAACCACCTAAAATCAGAAGTGGAGCTGTGGCTCAAAGTGGTAGAGCACTAGCCTTGAGTAAAAGAACTCAGGGACAGCACCCAGACCCTGATGAGAAAAAAAATTACATATAAGTGAAATCATGTAGTATTTATTCTGTGTTTAACTTTGCTTAATGTCCTTCAGGTTCATACATGATTTCACAAACATTACAATTAACTTCTGTCAAGGCTGAATAATATTTCAGTATGCATGCATGCATATGTGTGTATGTGCATGCTATGTCAAACAATTAGGTTGTTTCTGTGTGTTGACTTTCAAGAATGCTGTAATGAAATCAGGACTGCAAATACCTCTTAGGCACACTTCAAAGAGTAATATAAAGTCATTTCCTTTGAATATATATTCAGAAATGGGGTTACTGAGTCATATGATATTTGTTTTTAATTCTTTTTTTTTTTTCCTTGAGACAGGGTCTAACTATTTAGCCCCTGGCTAAAATTCAAACTCTTGAATTCCTTGCCTTAGCCTCCAAAGTTCAAGCACTATAGGTTTTGGGCTGGGACTGTGGCTTAGTGGTAAGAGTGCTTGCCTAGTATGCATGAAGCCCTGGGTTCAATTCCTCAGTACCACATAAACAGAAAAGGTGAGGGGTAGTGCTGTGGCTCACGTGGTAGAGTGCTAGCTTTGAGCAAAAGAAGGTCAAGGACAGTGCCAAGGCCCTGAGTTCAAGCCCCAAGACTAGCTACTCTCTCCCCCCCCCAAAAAAAAAAGGATTACAGGTTTGGGCCACCACAAGCAACCTATACTTAATGCTCAGAGGTGTTTTCTACCAAGATTATACCGGCTCACACTCTAAGGATTCCTTGTTCTCCACATCCTCACCAACACTTGCTTATCTTGAGATAACAGATGATAACAAACAGTATCTTATTGTGGTTTTAATTTGCATTTCCCTGATAGTTAATACTGTTGAGTACATTTTCATATATGTTAAGTTTTTCTAAAATAATTTAGGACTAAAGTCAACAAGAACATGAACATGTTTGTCAAAGTACATTTTGACACCAGACATGGTCTCTCTTCCCCATTCTTTAACATGAAGAGTTGATACTTTTATGTAAAATGTTATTGTAAATAGAGTAAGTCATTTTTTTTGGTATTAGGTTTGAACACAGGGCCTTGTGCTTCGTAGGAAGGTTTTCTACCATTTGAGTCATACCTCTAAGTCCATTTTTGCTACAGTTATTTTTTTCAGGTATGGTCTGTTTGTGCCAAAACCTTCTACCTAGAGCCTTTTATATAGCTGACATTACAGATGAACATCATCACACACAGCTTAGATGAGAAGGGGACTTGCTAAATTTTGCCAGGGCTGTCCTCAGGATCTTCACCATCTATGCTTCTGGCAATGTGAAGGTACTTTCCTTATAAACACAGCAAGCTTTCATAGCTGAAATCATATAACTAAGTAAATTTGTACGCTATCAAACCAACAAAACTGTCCTTAAAACTCTGTATTGGCTGGGGATGTTGTTCAGTGACAGAGGACTTGCCTAGCATGTATAAGGCTGTAGGTTTGATCACTACTACTACTACTACCACCACTACTACTACTACCACTACTACTATTACTACTAAATCCTTAAGTTTATATTGATGAAAAAAAAGTTTATATTGACATATTTGTTGTCCTTCCAATTAGAAAAAAAAATTGTTCACTGTTAAATTCCTAATGAAAGTGCAGTGCCTGATATATAACAGATACTCAAAAAATATTTTTCAATGTAGTTCTAGTTTTCTATGTTGATACAATGCTGAAACCTTGTTGATACAATGCTGAAAGCATCTATCTTAGTAAGTGTTATTAATGGTAGTCAAAGGGAACAGTCCTAGTAGCAATCAAAGTCTCTGCTTCACTTACTGTTTTGAAAGGAGAGGTAGGATTCGTACAACAGAGACATAGATACATACCAGTGCATTTCCTTGTGAGACTGATTTCGTTTGTGGATAGCATCTCCATTTATAATGTCCCGGTTGCTATTGGTAAGAACACCTCCAAAGTCATAAGGGCCTATCAAAACAAAGGGAGAATCCTAGAATTCAGCTGGAGGGTAACATGGATCTGATATTGATGCAAAAGTATCGCAGGAATTTCTCATTATACAACTAGAAGATAATTACAAAGCAGTCTACTTATCTTAAAATCTGATATTTTAGTTTTATGCAATATTTAAATGATTTCAGCATGTTGTTTATTCAACATTAAAATCATTTAATTATTCATTTCTTCAAACAGAATATAATGACAAACAAAACAAGAATCTACTGTGTCCCATTAATTTGGGTAGTAAAAGAGATGTTCAAAATGATTTCTACAATGCAAGCAAAATTTAAATTTCTGGTTTTTTTTCAGTCACGGGACTTGAACTCTGGGCTTGGGTGCTGTCCTTGTGCTCTTCAGCTCAAGGGGAACGCTCTACCTCTTGAGCCACAGCACCACTTCCGGTTTTCTAGTGCTTTATTGGAGATAGGAGTCTCACAGACTTTCCTGACCGGGCTGGCTTTGAACCATGATCCTCAGACCTCAGCCGCCTGAGTAGCTAGGATTACAGGTGTGAGCCACTGGTGCCCAGCCTTAAATGTCTCTTTTAAACAAAATTACTTTAAAAGGAGTTGCACACTGAAATCCTAATCTTCAAAATGTGTGCAAATATGTACATGTGTACACATACATATATATCTATATCTATAGGTCTATACTTTCCCAGGCTGATTTTGATCTCCTGGGATCAAGAAATTCTCATATATTTATTAGACCTTCTGGCTCTAATAAATATAATTTAAAATGAGCTAACTGCAAAATTTAGAGAAAAATATTAATGGCATGTGAAAATTCTCAGCCAAAAAACCTTCCTTTTTAAGAAATGCATTGCAATAATTGAGTTTGTGAATCTTATCACTATTTTGTCTACCTTGTTAGTTTCGTTCTGATTTTGGCCTTTTCCCACAGGCCTTATAAATCAGCCCACTTGTGTCCAAGGCAAACAGCAATGTTTAGCCATTCAGGAAATCTCTCCAAAAGGATCATTCAGTTATTAGCCATTATGTATTTTTTTTATTTGTCGTTTTAGTCCTGGGCTTAAACTCAGGGCCTGGATGCTCTCCCCAAGATTCTCAAGGCTAGAGCCACAGATCCATTTATAGCCTTTTGCTGGTTAGTTGGAAAGAGGAGTCTCATGGACTTTGCTGTCTGGGCTGGCTTCAAACCACAATCCTTAGTTCTCAGCTTCCTGAATAGCTAGGATTACAGGTGTGAGTCACCAGTGTCCTGCTTACTCATTATAATTTGAAAAAGTGGTCAGTATGCTAAAGAAGGGACCCAGAAACTGGCTACATAATGGAAACACAGAAATAATCTTTTATAAATAAAATCACTAACTTTTTAATATAATTCTAAAGTAGTTAAGAATGTGCCTCACTTGTAATGCAAGTTGATATACAATCCATTAAAGCCTCACTGCAGCAAAGGCTATGGTGATTTATTCTGTTTTGTTTTCATTTTCACATTTTAAGAGAATCTATATTCATGCAAGGAAGATGGCAGGGACATGCATTTTATAAAGGAATGCAAATTTCAACAAACAAATGAGGAGGAAAATGTTAGGAAATTCTTTTTCCCCAAAGATTTGATTGCCTTATTCACATCCTACTCATCTATTCTGACCCATTTCTGGACATCTATATTCTGGATAGTTTAAGGTTTTTATTCTGAAACAGCATCCCAATATTCCACAGATTGAATCCATAAAAACAAAATAAAATAAAGAAAAAAACAAAAGCACTGAAAGCGAGATCATAACAAGGACTTGAACTTTCACAGTTACAAAAGTACACTGATTTCTACAAAGACTTTCAGCCATGATATAGCCGCTGACCAGAACCCCGAGTTCACTAGAGGCTCACAAAAAATTCAATGTTGTTTAGTACATAGCTGGGCTTGCTTACTCCCTCACTCTTTTCAACTTTAAAACACAAAACTCCATACATATTTATTTATCTGATTAAGATGCTTTGAGCAAATTTGATAGTGAAGCACATATTTCATATATAAATTTTCTGATCTTTATGGGCTTCAGGTCTAATAGTTCAGCAAATAAATTAGACTGGAGTATCTGCAAGATTGCCAACTCAACAAGCAAAGCAGCTTTTCAATTTGGAAGCCTGTTTAGAAAGCTTGATATGGTCTGTGGGCTCTGGGCCATCGTCTTGTAGAAAATAAAGACAATTCAAGCCCTGCTCACGATGGGAGCATTCCTTTATTGTACCTTCACTATCAGAACGACCTGTGGGGAAAACGCCAGTGGCTGACAGGTAAATCAGAAGCACACTATTGGCAGGCAGCTCCTGAAATTAAAAAAAAAAAAAAACCACATACACAAAACAATAAACAGGAAAAACAACACAGTTTTATTTACAGGTCAGGACATTTTAAAGTTGTGAGGAAAACAGGGATGTAACTTAACATACTGTTGTCATTTTCTAGAAAAGAGTTGCTCCTGGTTCTGACTTAAAACCACTCAGCAAAGGTACACTATTAATCTATAATGGGAAACTGTTGCCACAGCTGGGAAAACAGTCTCTGCTTCAAATGCCCCACCTCACCCCACCACTTAAGAGACTGTTCTCTGCAAACTGGAACAGAGGATAAAAAATCAACAGTTTGTCTAAAAAGCAAAGTAAACTTTAGGATTCCTGTTTCTCATCATTCTTTCTTTCCTTGTTTTCATTTTTTTTTTTTTAAAGACAAGATAGCCCACACTGGCTTCAAACTCTCAATCTTTCTGCCTCAGGTTTCCAAGTGCTGAGATTACAGGTATGTACTACTACCCCATTCGTCTTCACAATCCTTCTACCTCTGCTTTCTGAGTTCTGGAATTATAGGTGTGCACATCTCTTCCTTTTACAGAGACTGTTTTCTAGGGCTTCCTGGATATGAGACATGCTATACAACCTGCTAGTTTCTCAGGTCTGCATTGACTGTTAAACCTAAAGTGGTCTAGTGATCAAAACATGGTAAAACAAATTATGACACAATGGGCAAGTTTCATGCCCCAGAGAGCTGTGATTCAGACTGCTGTTGAGAGGCAGTTGTCCATGTGATATTTTACCTGACTTCTTGACACCACCTCTGAAGAGTGACTCTCAGATTCCACTAAGGACATCCTTTCCCCCTAGCAGAAGATAGTACTGGACCACACGTACCTTAAAAGACGCTGCTAAGAATGTATACAGCTGGCTGAAGGTAGGTTTGTAGAGCAGATACTTGTGGGGATTTTCTCGCCTGGCAGGCTTGTCAGCTGACTCCTATATTTCCACACAAAGAACAACATATGTGCAGGCTTTATTTGACAGATGAATTACAATGCCTACTTTCCCTATCCTCTTCTGTCAAATATCCATCATCTTGCTCACTATCACTATATCAGTTTTTCTATGTCTCATAAAGAGAGCGCTTTCATTACCGCCCCAAGGGAAAAAGCAGAGGCAGCAGGAATTAGCACATTTGCAAATGTAGGGAGCAGATCACCTGCATTCCTGGTTTATTCATCTGAGAAGCTAAATTCATTGGCTCACGTTCCAGGGCTTGTAACATCCGGAACATGTCAACGGTCAGTTCACTAAACTTAACCTGCAAGAAAAACAAACAGGGCTGTTGGTGCGGTTTGGAGACTTAGGGTCTTCAATCATATCATCACTCTTGAGCTTCATGTGTACTTAATGATGTTAAAGGGACTTTGGTCTTTTTATATTTTTTGGGTCAGTCATGGGGCTTGAACTCTGGGCCTGGGTGCTGTTCCTCAGCTCTTCAGCTAAAGGCTAGCGCTCTACCACTTGAGCCACAGCACCACTTCCGATTTTCTGTAGTTTACTGGAGGTAAGAGTCTCACAGACTTTCCTGCCTGGGCTGGCTTTGAACCACAGTCCTCAGGTCTCAGCCTCCTGAGTAGCTAGAATTATCGGCATGAGCCACTCATGCCCGGCTTCAGCTCAAGAAATTCTTAAGGCAGAATCTTGAAGATTCTTGGTTGGTGTCTCACACATTTAACTCTAATACAGATGGATGATGGATATATACAGATAAAGAGATAAGAAATATCTTTTGTCTATTCAAAGCCTTGCACATTGCTAGGCAAGAAGTCTACCCCAACCTTCATGCTTCAGAAAGATTAAGAAAAATTTTTGGTCCTCCTTAACCAAAACTTTGCAGAACAAATTCAGAGGAATTTCTCCCCATGTTGAATGTTCTGAAGCAGGACTTGAGTTTCCTGGAATGTGATTCCATACACCCATCACTCACTATGTCTAAACAAGAGAATGAAACAGGGCATGGAGATAATGGCCAGCCTGGCCTCTCACTTCCAAAACGAGGCCTCTAATGAGTATGCATGCTTTAGGCTGTAACTAACCTGGAGGCTTCAGGAAGTGGTAAGGAACAGATCACCCTTACAATCTCCTTAAAAAAGTTCATCTTGGGGCCCGGGAAGGTGGCTCAGTGGTAGAGTGCTTGCCTTGCATGCATGAGGCCCTGGGTTTGATTCCTCAGTACCACATAAATAGAAAAGGCTGGAAGTGGCGCTGTGGCTCAAGTAGAGCACTAGCTTTGAACTGAAGAACTGACAGACAGCACCCAGGTCCAGAGAGTTCAAGCCCCATGAACAACAACAAAAAAGTTCATCTTAAGCTGGGCACCAGTAGCTCATGCCTATAATCCTAGCTACTCAGGAGGTTGAGATCTGAGGATCATGTTTCAAAGCAGGCTCAGGCAGAAAAGTTCCCGTGAGTCTCTTATCTCTAACTAGCCACTCAAAAAAATGGATGTGGAAGGCTGGGAAGGTGGCTCAGTGGTAGAGTGCTTGCCTTGCATGCATGAGGCCCTGGGTTCAATTCCTCAGTGCCACATAATTAGAAAAGCCAAAGTGGCACTATGGCTCAAGTGGTACCACACTAGCCTTGAGCAAAAGAGTTCAGGGACAGTGCCCAGTCCCTGAGTTCATGCCCCTCCCCCGCAACCCAAAAAACTATAAAACTTTGGCATCAGGCTTATCCAAACAACAAGCTATACTATGTATCTTCCTGCTCAATCTATGACTATGCTTTCTTTCCACAGCATGTGGATCCCAAATGCTACTAGCTGTACCCTCTGTATAAATCAATCTCACTGTGCCATTAGCACCGTAGCACCTCTGTGAACAGTTATTCTCACCATGCACCAAGATTATAGTGACACTTTCCTAACTGCTCTGCCTCCTGCATTCTGGCTCTAACTCATTCGCCACATCTACAAGCAAAATAAGCTTCTCAAAATGTGGGTCTCATCATGTCCCTTGCCTTACATCAGATTCTATGCTGGCTTTCTAATGCACTAAGCAAACACAATAATTACTCGGGCCCTGCTGACATAGCCCACCTTTCTCTCTCCTTGTGTCTCCCTTTGATCTTCCTCACTGGCTAGAGTAGTTTTGTTACTGTGTCCTACCCAACTCCAGGTCATATCCCTGGTTCTTCTGATGTCTGGCAACTTAGTTCCAAGTTAGTTCCTTACACTTTGTTTCTAACTAATGCACTGGTCTCCGGGGAAACATCCAGTAACCTCCGAGACTAGGCCAAGTGATGGGTAGATATAAGAATTACACACTTTTCCCTTGTAACATTTGTTGAAGTAGCTACTGGATAATCTCCAAGTGTCAGTTATGTGGCTAATGCTCCTTTCACAACAAAATGGTGAGCTCCCTTAGGGAAGGCACCTTATCTTTTTTGTTAATCCTACACATACCCATACTCACTCATGAATGACATTCAACAAGTACACACTGAACAGATGAATTTGTTGAACTGAGTCTTTCACTATGAGCCATTGCTTATATTTTCATATAAGCAAACAAAACAACAACCTCTATAGCAAAACATAAAACCAAAACTATAGATAGTAATATAAAGGTAGCCTTCTGTCAGTGCTACCTTTTGAAATACAGGGATGAATCTGCAAGAAAAGGAGATCTCCCCAGGGTGTAGACAGGAGAGGTTCAGGCGGTGGGTGGTGGTTGTGCCCCTAGCTGTGGTAGGATGAGGGCAGCACTGAGATGCAGGGAAGAAGTAATAGGGAGAAGTCCCTTGCATATGTGTACACAAGCCCAAGTACAGCTAGGAACACAAAAACACAGCCCCAGGACAGGAGGCCCTGAGAGCAAATCTGTTCCAGAGAGAGACAGAGGCAAACTACTGCGAATTAGGATTGGCTCTGGGGAGACATGGAGAAAAGTCTTTTCAAAGAAGTCACAAGTCTAAATTTATTTAGTTGGGCAGAACTGTGGTTTGAACTCAGCGCCTCTTGCTTGCTGGTGGCCTCTACTAGTTGGCCACATGTCCAGCCCAATGCCTGAAAGTTTTTTGGGAAAGAAAACACAGAATCCCACTGGAAGAAGATATCTAGGTCTCTAAGAATTCTAGCTGACAAAATTGTAGCAAAGAAGACACAGTCAGAAATCATAAAGGAAGAAAAAGGCAAAACTCATATACAACATGTTAGAAAAAGGTTGTTTCATATGCCAGCTAGATGAAACAAGCAAAATCATGAAGGCTATCAAATTTAAATACTCTAACACTTTACGAAATAAAATAAAATTAATGAATGGCATTAAATTCTGCTTTGCATAGGATAAAGTTAACAACAGATCAATAACGTCACAAGAAGGTGTGGATATAAAGTGACTAGAAAGGAAGCTATAGGGCTGAGCTTGCAGGGAGAGAATGGCAGAAAGAACAGGTCACCATCAGAGGAGAGTTGACCGCTTTCTGTCTCTGAGGGTAACTACTAGCTTTAACAGGTAAGATGCCAGGTTTTTGCCTGAGGAGGGAGCATGATGGGGGACAGAGAGACCACTGATGGTTCAAAGCCAAAATGACATAATACAATATAAAGGGATTTAATCACAGATGGGTTTCTCTCAGACATTTATAAAATTCTAAAGTTGCACAGTACAAGAGACTAAAGAGTTTAAGCCAGAAACCTCTGAAAAGTGAACAGGGTAAGTTTCCAGTTTATAAAGCCAAGACTAGAGTTCTAAACCCTTCAAGAAGTAAACTTGATGAACATGTCAACTCTCAGCTAAGGCTTGGCAAATCCAGGGCCTAACACAGAGGTGGCAAAGATGGACTGTGGTTTATCAAAATGGTAAGTAGCACTGCCCTAAATTCAGATTCTGAATGAATTTGGGTGGCCAGTCCCCACTTTTATGCTCAGCAGAAGAAATATATAAACCTTACTATAGAAAGCTTACCTGGAATGTATAATTTTTACGTACATTACAAGGGATTCAATCATATACTTCAGGCAAGCAAAGAATCAAGGCGGTATAAATCAATATAAGTGAATTAAGAAAATGAGAAATAAGCAGTAGGACAGAGCCACTGGTGATCTAGATAGTTAACAGAAAAAAACTTTTAAGTAGCTGATAAATATGATCAATGAAACAGAAAGAGACAGTAGACACAAATGAAAGGTTTGCCAAAAAATTAACATCTATAAAAAATAAAAATTAAAAAAAAATAGAATCAAATGGACAGGAAAGACCACATTACTCTCCCCCGCCCCACCCCCGCAGTTGTGGGGCTTGAACTCTGGGCCTGGGTGCTGTCCTTCAGCATTTCAGTCGAAGGTTAGTACTCTATCACTTGAGCCACAGTGCTACTTCCAGGTTTCTGGTGATTTACTGGAAATAAGAGTCTCATGGGCTTTCTTGCTCAGGCTGGCTTTGAACCATGATTCTCTGATCTCAGCCTCCTGAGTAGCTAGGATTACAGACGTGAGCCATCAGCACCCAGCTCCATGTGACTCTTATCAACAATTCACCACTAAAAAAGCAAGAAGTGCTAGCCTTGAGCAAAAAAGCTCAAGGACAGCACCAGGTCCTGAGTTCACACCACAGTATCGATACTACATATATATACATACACATATACACACATATATGCATATATATACACATACCATGTATAAACATATATATCTACACATATACACATATATGACTGATATATATATATCTACTGCTGATATATAAATATATACACATATAAATAAATCTATTACTGCTACTATATATCAGTACATTTAGATTGTTAACTCTATTTGGTTCTAGCCTAAATCACTATCTGTAACAAACAGATTTAAAATGATAGACTCAAATGGAAAAAATATGGAACCAAAAAATGTAGATTGTGCCAGCTACATAGGCAGCAGCCATAGGAAGACTGATATTCAAGGTTAGCCCAAGCAAAAGGCCTCAGGACAATCTCAAACAAGTTCAAGGTGGTGGTACATGCTTGTTAATTCCAATTAAGAGGGAAGCAGTCTTAGAAGGACCAGGAACCAAGAGAAGGCCCAGGACAAGAGAAAATAAGGCTCCATCTTAAAAATAAAGTGTGAGATTTAGTTCAAGTGGTAGATCATTAGGCATGAAATTCACATCAGTAGTGCAATGAACATACACCAAACAACAACAACAAAAACCCTAAAACATAGAATGTGAAACTTGAAACTTATGAAATAGTTTAGTGGGAGGCTGGACAGGTAGGAATACAAATTTAGTGAAAAGGAGAAAACATCCTAGATTAAAAAGAAAGAAAGAAAGAAATTAAGAAAATATGGAAAAAGACCCAGTGCAGGTGCTCACACCTCAGGTAGCTGAGATCTGAGGATTGTGGTTCGAAGCCAGCCCAGACAGAAAAATCCTTGTGAGACCTATCTCCAATTAACCACTCAAAAACCAGAAATGGAGCTGTGGCTCAAAGTTGCTATAGTGCCCAGGTCCTGAGTTCAGGCCCCACCACCGGAAAAAATAAATATAGAAAAAGAATGTAAAGGCTGGGAAGGTGGCTCAGTGGTAGAGCGCTTGCCTTGCATGCCTGAGGCCCTAGGTTCAATTCTTCAGCACACATAAGCAAAAAGAAAAAAGCCGGACGTGGCGCTGTGGCTCAAGTGGTAGAGCACTAGCCTTGAGCTGAAGAACTGAGGGACAGTGCCCAGGTCCAGAGTTCAGGCCCCATGACCGGACACCCCCCCCAAAAAAAAAGAAAAAAGAAAAAGAGTGTAAAAGACAGAATTGACACGAGCTATATGACTGGAGCCCTGCAATGATAGGAGAGAGGCAAGGTGGAAAAGAGAAATGGAAGGAGGGACAGAAAGAAAAGAAGAAATAATATTAAAGACATAATGGCTATATTTCAAAATACACAATAGATATCCACCTACAGATCCAAGAAACCATGAACCTGAAAGCAAATAAATAAAACAAGTAAATAAGAGTAAATGGCACCAGGCAACACCAGAGTAAAGCTGTATCTGAGTCACTGCCCATAGCATACAGAGGAAAGAAATGTTTTCCTCAACCAGAAAATGTGACAAATAATAAATCTAAAAGATGATTTCTCAACAGAAAATAAAAGAAAACAGATTAACAATTAAATCTATACATTGCCAAAGGAAAGCGAGTATACAATTTAACATATATAATTCAGAAATTACAACTAAATAATAACACTTCTAAAAAAATAGAAACAAAGGAAAATTCATCAGAGGTACAGCTGTAAAAAATGAGAAGGAATACTCAGAAATAAAATAATTAAGCCAAACGCCTGTGGCTCACACCTGTAATGCTAGCTACTCAGGAGACTGAAATCTGAGGATGGTAGTTCAAAGCCAGCCTGGGCAGCAAAGTCTGTGAATGAGATTCCTACCTCCACTAAACTACCAAAAAAGCTGAAAGTGGAGCTGTGGCTTAAGTGATAGAGTACTAGCCTTGAGCATAAAAGCTCAGGGATAACACCTAGACCCAGAGTTCAAGCCCTAGGACA